TTACGGTAATCGCATCGACAACTAAACGTATTTAAATCTACTTATATCGCAGTCATCCAATGGCACCGAGGGTTGATTATGATCTCGGTAAAGTAATTAATATCTAATTAATTATTTATATAAAATTTCAGGTCTAAAAAAAGACCTGCAATAAGCAGATTTAGCTTTTGCATAATGTATGTTGAGTTATAATATTATTCATAAAATGAATGTTAGCAAATTAATTTCGTTAAGCGAATATATATAGATGGCAATTATGAGCAAAGTTATCACCCTTGTCATGCTGTAAATACATCATAATCCGTCAGGAATGAGTTAAAATATTGAACACTAAACCAAATTAACACCAATCAAATAAAAACTTCCAATATACTTATATTACAATCATATTCACTATTCTACTGAGTTATGGGTAATATTCCACACTGTGGTTGCATTCTTTTTTATTTTATCTAAAGCTGGTGAATTTTAATCAAATCTGTTATGGCCTTAATGTTGCATATCAGAGTAGTGAATATGATTGTAATATAAGTATATTGGAACATATATTTGGATTATTATTGATCTCACATAAACTTTATTAAAGAAAAAATAGAGTGTGTATGGAGAGAGGGGGTAGTTTTGATCCTATAAGCTTAAACGTGACCATCCTCTTTATCCCTAATAGTCTCATTCCGTTCTACCCCATTTACACCTTGGTTAATCTATGGGGGAGACACGTCTTCAAGTTATCTGCCCTTGATGATTGTGCTATTTTTATCTACCAATACCATAATAGTTAATTGCAAAGGAAGTTGGTAAGGGGGGGGGGGGGGGTAAAGTAAGCAAAACACAAAGGTTCCCGTCCAAGAGACAATGTTATGAATAAGCCAGAAAGTAGCCTAAATGTCCACATAATACTAAATGTATTTTAACAACAAATTACAATTATTTTATAATAAATTAATGAAGACCGGGCAATGTAAATGAATTAGAAATATATATATTATTTACATAAATCATTCAGTAAATATAAATGATTTAGAACTATATAAATTATTTACATAAATCATTCAGTAAATGGACATGAATAGGGTTATCTATACTTATGAAAACGAACGCGACATGAAGCCCGTTTCATTGGGACACAGCTCAATTAAACATTTCTACGTGAAAGTGTAGGGCGAAGGTTATTTTTAGTCTTTTTCTCCTTTCCCCCTTTAGCATGGCGATTTTTGTTGACTTTTTGATTTAGAATCGAAGAAAAGGATTTGAAAATACATTTTCTGCCAGGTTTTGGTGAATATTCATGATTTTGAGGCGGAAAGATACAAGACTTGAGAGGTTGGTATGGTCGGAATGTAGGGCCGAAAAGTGCATGTTAAGTTGTCTCTACTTCCAGCTTGTATATCTCAAGTTTTTCATGGTGAACCTCATACATGCTTTTGGGCAAGAGTTTGCCACATGTTGTTCTATCTGTGGCAGAAAGCGTTCTACCCAACGAAAATTTGGGAAAAAGTTAGAGCCGGTTTAAGAGACGAGAATTAACATTAAAGTCAATGGGGAAATCATTAGTGATCTGTGGGCATTTATAATAGACTTTAACCCAGGGCAGATAATTTGAAATCGTGGAAAAACCTGCGGATTAACCCAGGGTATAGTGGAGTAGAACGGAATGAGACCACTGGGGATACCGAGGATGGAACGTGACAAAGAGTAAGATCGAATTCCAGCAGCCGACTGTCAAGGGTTCTTTTACGTGCACGCCAGTCTGTACACAGGCCCTTGACTTTTCGTCCCATCCGAATGACTATACGTCCCATCCGAATGACTATGCGTTGTCACTTGGGCTACTGTATCCACGAGCAATAAGTTAAAGATGGTGTCCAGGGTATTTCTTTTACTTTGTCCAAATTTATATCTAAAGAACACTTTTCAAACCCTTCATTTGTGGAATGTGAATGACTAAATGGCTGTAAATCTTCCAACGGATTAGGTCTTTAATGCCAGAAGTACTTTCGGTGCCCCATTATGAAATTATAATGGAAGTCATGGAATAGAAACAATCAGACGGTCTTATCTTTATTCAATAAAACAAACTAATTTTATTAGCGTTCTAATAATTTTATTAAATTTAAATGAGTCAAATGTTTGTTAGCCTACTGACGCATTGGACCTTTAACTCCAGAAGCACTTTTTGTGCCCCATTATGGAAACCATTGAACATAAACAATAAGATGTCGTTAGCGTTTAATATAACTAATTGGGCGTTATTATAATGTGGACCATGTTCATAAAGCGCAAATGAATTGAAACGAAACGCTGTTTAACGCCCTACCTTTTGCGGAAAAAAAGCGTGAATGACTATTTTATCTTTTTATTTTTTTATTTTATATTTAAATAGACGCCATTGTTTGCGGTTGAAATGGGCGTGCAAGAAGAAACAGATGTTCAAAACGGATTGCTACCTGAAGAAAATCATCGAAATGTTGTCAAAGCAAAGGATATAATTAATACCAAAAACACCAGAAAGCCGGAAAGAGTTCATTGGGGAAGAAGCCTTGAATTTTTGCTTTCGCTCATAGGATATGGCGTTGGGCTCGGTAATATATGGAGATTCCCATATTTATGTGCTAAAAATGGCGGAGGTAAAAAAATAAGTTAATAATTTTTGTGTCTTTCAGGTAAAGAAATTGAACTTCAACCCGCTTATGTTGATGTTATGACGTTATCTACCATTTTTTTAAATCAAAAATAATGTATTTGAAATGGACAGAAGACCTAGAAATGTTTTTAGCATAATACTGCTCAAATATTTTCTAATTAAAACGCATTATTTAAGATTTAGATAAAGAAAAGGGTATATATTGATAATTTCAGTCTAATTACTTTATTCTTACCGAAGTTATGACTGTTGTTACGATAATAACCAAAATCTCGATTATCCAATCTTAAATCAAATTATCAACTATCGACCGTGTATAACATTTGAGGCCAAACGAATGATCTGCAATAGGCAGATTTGTCTCTTACATAATGAATCTTTAAGATAATATCCCTTTTTTATTTAGGAGAATAAAAACAATAAATCTAGTTCAGGGGCCGGTAAAGATGGAATCAACATCTCCAGTACAAAAAGTTTGAGACCTAGAAGTAATAGATATCTGATCGGGATCCCCAAAAAATGCTGTTAAATAGATTGTTTTTAAATTCCGCCATTTCTGAATTCCTTCCACGTGTCCACAGCCGTGGTCATTTTGTAATGCTGTAATGGAGGCCCAAATCTCAGTGCAAGACCTTTATTTCAGCTGTTATGCCCGCAGAACATGGAAGCGTCTATAATCTTGGTACATCAATCTTGGATACCCATTTTGTGCTTGTATTGAAGGCATGTACTGCGATATGCATTTAAAGTGAATTGGCCGTGGCCGGAAAATGGTGACTTTTGTCCATCTCAGAAATGAAATGGGGTTTAACGTCCTACTGTTTTGCTCCGAACCATCTCAGAAATAGGTTAATTTCCAAAGTTGACCACTCAGAAGGATCCATACAGTTTTATACTCATGTTGTGCTTGTACTCAGATTTGTATTGAAGGCATATTAGGTTAATCCTCAAAATTGACTACACAGAAGAAACCAATTTGGGTGGTAATGTGAACATCGCCCCCTAGTGGTGTTCCCAACAATTGCGTTTTCGGGAGTCCCAATCAATATTTACTAATTCCAGACCTAAATGCCACTGTTGAATAAAGGTATTAATTCTGAAAGTCTTCTTGTAACATTAAACCATGCTCTCTCATCACGTTAACTTTTATTTCAGCCGTTTTCCTGATACCGTATTTCATTTTCATGGTGTTGATAGGATTTCCTCTAACTTTCATGGAATTAGCACTTGGGCAATTTTCTGGAAAAAGTGCCTACGATATATGGGATATATGTCCAGCGTTTAGAGGTGAATTGTTTTTGCTACCCCACCCCCTGTTATTAATTGTGTGTTTAATTTAATTTTATCAAAACGAAAGATATGTTAGCGAGCATACGCCAACAGTTGCTAAATCGCCCGGAATTCGACAAGGATTATTATTATTTTTTGGGGTATTTAATGGGAGCATAAACAAGGCTGAATACTTTCGTTAAAGAAGGACCATAACTCTAGAAGTATTTAACGATACGTATTGAAATTAAATATGCTTCTTCGTCTATGTATTAGAATGTATTAAATTCGCTCAAATATGTATTTTAGGACTAGGTGTTGCTATGAGCAGTGTTGCAGCTTTGTGCTGTCTTTACTACAATACGATTCTCTCTTGGATTTTGTACTACTTTGTCCATTCCTTTATGTCACCGTTACCATGGACAACATGTGACAACTGGTGGAACACAGATAACTGCTTTGTGAGGAACAAATTACAAGAAAATTCCACAATTATCAGTAATAACACACATTACTTCAGTAATGACAATGAAACTATGGTACTGCTCAGTACGGCTGATAATAACATTTCTAGAAGGATCACAGCCACAGAAGAATTTTGGAAGTGAGTTGTTTGGGGTTTTGTTTGGCAAAACAAACGGCCAAAATGAGTTGCTTTTTCCTGATCCTTTTACTCAAATAAAAAGATTTTTTAAAAACTTAGAAATGAAGTTCATTATTACAGTCACTAGCCTATAGTCGAACATCAATGCTATAATCTCGTGTAGCAGATCCTGGGCTTAATTTAGAATGGCTGTGGCCTGAAAAAGCATCTGCAGCGTTTGATTTTCTCAAATGTTCTGAGACAGGCCGATGGACCTACCGCTGTGTGCTTTTCTCACATTCTGGAGTCCCTCTTGCTGAGAAGTCGTTGTTGAAAGTCATATTTTACAACATAACCATATATTTTATAGACTGACCCATTGCCTTCATTGTCCATTTTCTGGCAAATTCTTAGCTCAAAATCAAAACCAACGGAAGCATATTAATTTTAAGCCATTTATTAATGTGGTTCTTTTTCTTTCTTTTTTTCTTTTATTAGTAACCATTTGCTAGTGATATCTAGTGGGTTATCTGATTTTGGAACTATGCAATGGCATTTAGTATTAGCCTTGATTGCTGCATGGGTCTCCATATTTCTTTGTATAGTAAAGGGTGTCAAATCAGTTGGAAAGGTAAAATTACTTTATTTTATTTACAAATTATTTAGAAACACTAACTCCATAATATCATATAGTCCACAGGGGTAGCTGATGGTGAGAGGGGTGTTTCTGGCCTTCAGAGTTTTTCAAACGAGTTCGTCAATTGGCACGGATGGACTAAATACAGCCCTCAACGAGTTATCTGTCCATAATGCATTCACACCTCAAAAATGCCGCTTCTGGACAATTTTCTCTGGGTTTTCTTTTTTGGCTTATATAGCAGTATGCAGCTTTTAAATGGCAAGACGAGTGACTCAATACAAATGAAATGAAATGAATTGGGGTTTAACATTCTACTCTTCTGCTCCGAACTGGGCTAATGAAGACGGGCATTCGCCATACAGAGGGAAATTTTGCCCGGACAGCGGCACTACGACCAACTCTTATATCAAATTCCAACTGTCAAGGGATCTTTTACGTGCATACCAATGTATACACGGGACCTCGGTTTTTCGTTTAACCCGAAGGACTAGACAGCTGTCCTTGTCAGGCCCTCTGTTCTGCACCACTGACAAGGGGAAACCACGTCGGAAAATCCAGATGAACTTTCTCGGTCAATGCAGAAATCGAACACCCGACATCCAGGCTAGCAAGCCAGCGTCTTAACCACCCAGCCACCGTGGCTCGGTTTTTTCGTCTCACCCGAAGGACTAGACAGCTGTCCTTGTCAGGCCCTCTGTTCTGCACCACTGACAAGGGGAAACCACGTCGGAAAATCCAGATGAACTTTCTCGGCCAATGCAGAAATCGAACACCCGACATCCAGGCTAGCAAGCCAGCGTCTTAACCACCCAGCCACCGTGGCTCCCATACCACCATATACTTCCTCATTGTGAAAAACTGGCAGATTGTTTGTATTATACACACAAAAAAATATTTTGGTAGTATCAGGGAAATTGTCTTGCACGTATGTCTATTGTAATTTTAGGTGGTGTACGTTACGGCAACATTTCCCTACGTTATAATAGTTATCCTGTTCGTAAGAGCCGTTACACTTCCCGGAGCAATCAAAGGTATAGAGTTCTATCTCATACCAGATTTCTCCAAACTCGTCGATTTGCAGGTAAGTTTGAACTTGTAAGTATACTATTCAAAAAAAGTAGGGGATATTTGATTTTGGGGGCATAATACTAAAATATGCAAATGACTACGAAAAAAGTCACTATAGAACCTAACAGAAGAAACATTTCCAGTTACATGTGACGCCCAAACGCACCAATAGCTACCGCATGGAATGCAGGTGATGCTTGGGATCATCATGGGGGTCCAATCCAAGATTTGCACGACTCTGACTTTGAATGTTACAGTCATTGTGGCATTGAATTCCAGGGTGGAAACATCAGTTTAATTGTTTTAGTGACCAGAAAACAAATTTTGATATGCGTCGGCTTACCCAAAATGAAAGGTTACGTGCCCTTGGCATGCTACAGATCGGCACAACACAGGCGGTTGTGGCGCGGACGATGAATGTTTCTCAGTCTGTCATAAGCAGGCTATGGTCCAGATACCGTGATACACAATCTGTACAGGACAGACCACGCTCAGGTCGACCAAGGGCGACAACTCAAGCCCAGGATCGATTTATCCGTACCTTGGCCTTGAGAAATCGTGTCATCACAGCAAATCAGATCAGCGCTCGTCTTCAAACAGACACTGGTGTGAGAGTGAGTGGCCAGACGATTCGGAATCGACTGCATAGGGGTCACCTTCGCGCCCGACGTCCTCGCGTGATCCCTTGTTTGAGAGATCATCACATTCAGGCAAGACGTCGTTGGTGTAGGGATCGTCAACACTGGGATAATCGACGCTGGAGCAATGTGATGTTTTCAGATGAGTCAAGGTTCACTGTTGATTTTTTGGACAGACGTAGGAGGGTGTGGCGTCGTCGAAACGAGCGCTTCCAAGACGTTAACGTCATCAGACATGATCGATTTGGGGGTGGTTCTGTTATGGTGTGGGGAGGCATCACTGTTGCTGGAAGAACGGCTTTACATGTTGTTGCAGGGCGTGTTACAGGCCAGTACTACCGGGACAACATCTTGGCAGTCCATGTTGTGCCGTTCGCACGACGTCATGGCCGCCGTTTCATCTTCCAGGATGACAACGCAAGATGTCACAGGGCCAGGATCGTTACAGGTTACCTCCAACAACAGAACATCACCACATTACCTTGGCCAGCACTGAGTCCCGACCTCTCCCCCATCGAGCATGTCTGGGACATGCTTGGACAGAGGTTACGTCAACGTCAACAACGTCCTGCCAATGTCCAAGAACTTGCTGCTGCGTTGCAACAGGAATGGGACAATCTGGACCAAAATGACCTTAGACGTCTCATTAGGAGTATGCCACGTCGGATCAATGCTTGTTTGGCAAACAGAGGAGGATTTACCCGTTACTGACTTGGTTGTGATGCTGTGGTAACTTTGCTGTTTGACCCCGGGTATCATTTTACCCTTATAATGGTCAGTCTGTGCCTTACTTAGTCTAACGATCATTTGGAATAAATAGATGAATGTGAACTTCATTTCATTTTGTCATTTGTTTCTTCGTCAGTTTCATTAGGTGACTTTAATAACACTTAAAAATCAAATATCCCCTACTTTTTTTGAATAGTATATTATAGCTATTTGTTAAAGAAGTACTAGCGTACTATAGGCCAGAAACAGAGTATGACGTCATCGCAGCCATCGACTGTTTTGGAAGAGCGTCGCTCCAAGAACAACACCAAGAACAAGATGGGTAGCGTTTTGGGACCAGTCCTTGATCCAATAAAATTTGAATACATTGATGCTAGGTTTGTCTTACCATTCTCTACTTCCATCAGTAAGAATAACTGATCTGAAATCTGTTTAAAGTACTCTCTCTCTCTCTGATCACATACCAAATGTTTAAACGGCATGTTTTAAGAACTAAGAATTACGATTTCAACCCCATCCCATATAATTCAAAACTCCAATCCCAAGCTAATACAGCATTACTGCTATCGTGATATGTTGATAAAATAAACTTATCTTAGATAAAGGACTGATCGTTCTTGCTATGCTAGTTTGTAAAAAGACCTGCAATAGGCATAGTTAGCTCTTACATAATGCATCTTTAAAAGGAGGCGTAACGTTGTATTTATTATAAAATATTAAAAGCTAACGATATTAAACTTAAAATTTTAGATGTGGACTGAAGCCTTACTGCAGCTGTTCTTCTCGTTGGGAATGGGGTGGGGAGGATTTATAACAATGGCCAGTTACAATAAATTTAACAATAATATCTTGAGGTAAGTAATAATAGAACGGGGTTGAATTTTGTTTGTTAGCATTGTTCTTGAAGTTAGCATGGAATAATTACACGATGGATTATTAGATCTATAGGCAATTAACTACCCCTACCCACAATGATTTCATGTTTTATACAATTTCTAAGGTTGGTAGGTTTTCTCTGGATCATCGACTTTCCTAACTATGCTAAGCACACAGTGCATTTGTTATTCCCGAAATGATCATCTTTACACCGAGTCGTCTACACCAAGTGAGTAACTTGGTTCATGGCAATTTCCTGATCTTATTGGCATTATGTTATGGTACCCATATCTGTGTTAGACTCTTTTGAAAAACATTTTATATTTCAGTTCTCGAAACGAACAATAATCAATATATCCTATATAATTTCACAAAGCAAAAAAAAAACAAAAAAATGTATTCTTCATTTCCTCAAAACGCAACATAAACATAATCAAAACATTATATCCCATATAATGCTCAAATACTTCAGGAACGCCAGGCTGATGATGATCTGCGGAGAGATCTGTATGCTAATCCATTCTTTTGATATTTTCAGAGATACTGTTATATATTGTGTCATTGGCGAAGGAACAAGTATATTGGCTGGTTTTGTGGTATTTTCTGTGCTTGGTTTTATGTCATATGAAACTGGGCTGGAAATCGTCGATATTATTAGAACAGGTGATTATTCTATTAAGACAAATTAACTTGTGTTGCATCATTTGTTGATTCTATAAATTTCGTGTATTATAAACATTAGTTTGTGTTGCATGATTTGGTGAGAATTGTTTTGGGCCTATTGATATAGGGTATAACGCATATTAGTTTGTGTTACATGATTTGTTATGATTCTATAGAAATTGTTGATAAATGTTGTGTATAATGTGCCTATTACATGCTAACTTGTGTTGCATGATTTGTTAGGACTTTATGATTCTACAAATATCATGCATTTGTTATATTGTGTATTTTGATAGAGAATATATATTTCATTACTTTTCAATATCTTTAGCACAGGTCGATGGGTTTTTGTCCGTTTATTGGTATTTGTATATAAGAAAAATATATTTCGTATATTGAACTTTTTAAATGGATATTTTTGAAGGACCTGGACTGGCTTTCATTGCTTATCCCGAAGCTCTGAGTCAACTTCCATTACCACAGTTATGGGCAGTTCTTTTCTTCTTGATGCTCTTATTGGTGGCCTTAGACACAATGGTAATAATATCTAGATACTTAACTTATTTTATAATTGTCAGTATTATACACTATTACAAGCAAAATAAACACTTTTAGACACTGGTTTAATTCATCCGATTTACTTGAAGAATCACTCTATTCAGTTCAATATGAGGTTTTGTGGTACTATATTTTACCTAATTATACTTGAAGGAAAATAGAAATATGTTTTTATATATATATTGAAATGTAAATACCTATGCAGGTTGTGATATGGTAAATAGGCATGGACACTTGACATGCTTTGAGTGTATGTTCACAGATGAAGAACGTATCGCCCCAACAGAACCACTAAGCTGCATGTGCGGCACGCAATAGCGTCATACACGTGGGAGGGGTTCATTGTCAAATTTAAAACTTCAAGGAAGGGTTGATGAAAACTGTCGCGTGCTGGTTTATCCTATCCATGTTTGCTCTCCTATCGGTTCTAGTATAAGATTTGCTGTTTAGCGTATCTTTGCTTTAGTGTGTTACGTTTAATTTGCAATGAGAGTCTTCAACATGATGAACGTCTACGTGCTATTGGCATGCTTCAAATGAGTTCTACACAACGAGCAGTAGCCAACATGCTTAATGTGTCACAGTCTGTCAGCAGACTGTGGAACCGGTACCAACAAACACAATTTTGATGATAGACCTCGTTCAGGTCGTCCTAGAGCCACTACACAAACCAAGGATGGATACATTCGTACATAGGTCCTGTAAAATCGAGGAAAACGTGTGGCTGCGTGGCACAGATAGTTCTGCCCTTTGCTCAACGTGCAGGTCGACTTTTCATCTTTCAAGATGACAAGGCCCGTGCCCACCGCGCCCGTGTCGTGAATGACTACCTCCAGCGTCACCATATTGTCCATATGCCTTGGCAAGCCTTGAGTCCTGACCTTTCCGCCATAGAGCATGTCTGGGACATGATCGGGAGACGTGTTCGTCGACGTCAACGGACAACACTGCAAGAATTGGCCGTGGCACTGCAAGAGGAGTGGGTCAGATTGCCCCAAAATAGTGATTGGACGGTTGATTAGGAGCATATGCCACGACGAATTGCTGAATGTCTGAGGATTGGTGGAGCAATTGCTCATTATTTAGACAAAAATCAAAAACGTCCATTTTCACTTTTGACAGTGTATCTGTTTGCGAGTGAAATGGGGCCGTTAGATAAGTCGCCAATATGAACTGTTTTTATGTGTAAGCAATTGGCCTGTTATTAACATACACTGGTTATCTCTAATAAAAACAGCAGTGCATTTCCGCAGTTTTGTATTGTTTCTGAATATCCCCTACTTCTTTTGAAGAGTATATTATAGTTTTATTATGTAAAATAGTTTGTAAATGTGGAATATATTTTTAAATGCAAAAAGAAATATTTTCTTTTAAAAAATAGATTTTTATGTAAATAGTTTGTAAATGTATTTTTAAATGAAAAAGAAAGTTGTTTTTATACATTTTTCTTTTAAAAATAGATTTTTATGTAAACAGTTTGTAACTGTATTTTTAAACGAAAACGAAAGTTGTTTTTATACATTTTTTTTATGTAAAATAGTTTGTTAATGTGGAAGTGGTTATTACAACTATAGTTGATTTAATACCAAATGCCACTGATAAGATTCGAATGATTGTTACTGCTGTTACCTGTTTCATCATGTTTCTCATAACCTTAATTTATGCTACTCAGGTAAGATATTTTAAATGGCTAAACTATCTTGACTTAGGTAAAAAATGAAATTCTCGATTTGATTGGTATTTCATGTTGATTGGTTTTGTGGGGGTGACAATCTGTCCTCGTTGAATATTTTACGTCTATAAATAAATAATACTGTGTCATGCTGTCGACACAGTAAGACAAAAGGGAAATTCAAATTCAGTACGCAAACGGACTTCCGTTTAGTTTTTTGAAAGTATTTTGAACTCCAAAACAAGAGCTTAGCAATATCTAGCCTTACGTTTTAGCTTTACGATTTTCACTGTATGGCGTATGCCCGTCTTCATTAGCCCAGTATAGGAGCAGAACAGTAGGACGTTAAACCCCATTTCATTCATTCATTCATTCTTTTTACGAATCTTGAATCCTTTTGTTAAGACATGTTTTGTTTAACTGGGAGACCACGGTATCAACATTTCCCGTTGACAATATGATAGATGGTAATTAGTAGGAAGAGGGGGGGGGGGGGCGAATGGTTCGCACGTGCGCGCTATATTATAAGGTCTGTCATTGAGTCAACTGGCGTGGTTTAGATTCCCCGGTTGTACGTGACAAGGAGTAGGGTCGCCTGTCCAATTTCGTGGGTTTTCTCCGGGTCATCCATATGTTAGTTCCGAAATGACTTAGTTTGTGTCGAATGGACGTTACCCCCCCCCCCTCTCTCTCTCTATTAAGTAATTAAAAGGTCGCATCCTACTGGAGTTACGTCCCTTTTATACGAAACTTTTCAGCTCTTGTATGTCTTGACTCTAATTTCATTTTTTTTATTTTTCCAAATCTACATAGCCTTGATTAGTATTACATGTAGATTATATTTTGTTGTTTTAGGCGGGTATTTATATCTTTCAACTTGTAGACTGGTATTTTGCAGCAATTACACTTTACATAATTACTATTTTAGAGAGCATTACTATAGGTTGGATATACGGTAAGTTATAAAGCATTTTTATGCTGTTTTGCGTAAATTGTGCATACGACATTAAAGAACAAGAATGAGTTTGTTGTTTAGTACTTTGTATATAAAATATATATACAAAAATCAGCCTTTTAATTAAATACTCAAAGCCATTAAAAACGCAATGCCAAATTCAAAGTTTATTTACTGCAACAACTTTTAACAAATGTACATAACAATTGACAAAATCGGGATAACAAGCATCTGTGGATAATTTCATGAAAGAATTCACTACAAATGCACAAAATCGAAACGTCAGAGAACCATGAAACAAAGCAGGGGTCAGCGGAAGTCAATATCGGTTATGTACACCCTTGGCTCTTACTTAGTTTAAACATATTTTATTGCAAATAATTTACAAAGGGATTAGGACAATTTATAAAAATTATGAACCTTCTCCCAGGGAATAGAATAATATAATATTATATAATATATGATGGCAGAACAAACGTTTAACATACAGCTATATACAATATGTACACGTATTTATAATTATCTATCATCTATTTATTGTTTTGATATATAAGAGTCAATTAGATCATTACCATTTTACTAAATTAAGCATCTAATATAAACTATAATCATAAATATGTTTTTATCTAAATAAAGTGATAAATATGAGTGTGTGATTGTGGGGATGTACATTAATCAATAAAGAATTAAAACCAAGTTTATAATATACTATTAAAACTTTTTGTGCTGGAAATATAACGTTGAAAGGCAAGAAATATTTTCTTGATTAAAATGTTGGCATGGACTGGCCCAGATGTCTCACTACACGCTGTGGGATTGTTTGCCAATGATTTTGGAGTGCCTGTACCAACTCTGCAACAGTTCGTGGTGGCACGGTTTGAGTTCAACCCCGTCGTCCAAGTTCATCCCAAAGGTGTTCGATCGGGTTCATGTCGTGAGACATAGCGGGCCAATCCATAACACGGACTTGATGATTGTTCAGAAAGTCTCTTGTCAACCTGGCAGTTTGGAGTCGGGCGTTGTCATGCTGAAAAACCATCTGTCGACGGAGGCCATGTTGAGCCAGCAATGGAAGCAACACCGGACGAAGGATGGCCTTAACATAATGTTGAGCGTTGAGATTGCCGTGGACCACCAGCAGCTGGGACAGGAAATTGACGTTGATAGCGGCCCAAACCATGACACCACCTCCCCCGAAGCTGACTGGAACCAGTTGCGCAGATGCTGTAGTCGGATGTGGCGATCTTGAGCAGCGGCTGTCACATGTGGCCCTCCATGTTGGGGTCGATCGGCAACTCTTTCAGTGGCGTGGAAGCGTTGTCTGGGGCGAGCAATGGTCGATGGGTGGGCATTGAAGTATCTGGCGACGGCTACCTGTGGAGCCCCCTGATCCAGCATGCTCTGTTCCTGTTTTCTTGTGTAATTGCGTGGCATTTTTCCGAAGTGATGAATGTTGAAATTTTTTATCTGTATTTAAAGTGCCAGAGTGCAGGGAATACACGTGCAAAATGTGTGACATGGGACTGCTTAAAATCGTGAAAAAAGACAATTGTTGCGTTTGCACGAACAAAATTCATTACCGGGAACTGATATTGGGTTCAAACCCAGAACTCCACAAAAAGAGACCCATCACAAGTTTCACCTATGTGCCATCAGATAAGAAAGCCCAAGAAAACGTTTACCAGAAATATTTCACGAATTACGCATTGCGTTTTTAATGGTTTTGTGTAAAGGATGAGTGTTGGGGATGCTCACGCTGGGCGAATTGAATTAGGTCTGTTTAATAACATAATGTATCTCCAAATTATATGTGAGATACATATAATAACAAGCGTTGAAATTGTAAACTATCAATCTAAAAATGATGTGCATGAGGAAGCTAAGAACAAATAAACAATTCCTATTAGAGTATCATGATTTAGGCAAAATGACATTTATAATGTTTATTCACTAAAATAATTAATGGTTACATATTCTAATAGGATTTAACAAGCGGTTGCCATGCAAGATACGCCCACATTTTGCAAGAGACGGGCAGAGAACAAGCTCAAAAAAGAAGTGATTTTTCGTACAATCAAGGGCCATAATTCAGGAAGTTACGATCCGATATGCATGAATATATTTTTGGGATATAAACATGTATTTCAAGTTTCATCAAAATCGAATCAAAATTGTGTCCTCTCTCTAGAGGGTCCAAAACCTTAATATACCATATATTTACAATATTTGCGCACGAGGGGCAGCCATGTTGTCCGTCAGTTTTGGTCCGAGGGATCACATCCTAAAAACGCGACTTTTCGTACAATCAAGGGCCATAATTCTGGCAGTTACTATCCAATATGCGCGAATATCGAAAGGAACCAAGATCTTTGGGTTATAAATATGTAATTTAAGTTTCATCAAAATCGGATCAAAATTGTGGCCTCTAAAGGATCCACAACCTTGATATACCATATATTTACAATATTTGCGAGCAAGAGGCGGCCATTTGGTCTGTCAATTTTGATCCGATTTCCACGAAATTGGAACTCAGCCATCATAATTGTGTAACGGTGATATATTCGAACGTTTGTTTAAATCGGTTAATAATTGTGACCACAAGCTAAAAACACGATTTTTCGTACAATCAGGGGCCACAATTCAGGAAGTTGCGATCCGATGTGCGCGAATATTGAAAGCAACCAAGATCTTTGGAATATAAACATGCATTTCAAGTTTCATCAAAATCGGCACAAAATTGTGACCCCACAACCTTAATATACCAGATGTTTACATAATTTACGTAAAAACGGCGTCCATTTTGTCTAGCAGTTTTGGTCCGATTTTCACGAAATTCGAACTCAACCTTCATTACGGTGTAACGGGGATATATTCAAACGGTGTTTTAAATCGGATAATAATTGTGACCTATAGAGCGACCCCAAGCTAAAAACGCCATTTTTCGTACAATCAGGGGCCATAATTCAAGAAGTTACATCCGATATGCACGAATGTCGAAAGTAACCAAGATCTTTGGGTTATAAACATGCATTTCAAGTTTCATCAAAATCGGATTAAAATTGTGACCTCTACAGGGTCCACAACATTGATATACCATATTTACGCTATTTGATTTTTACGAAATTAGAACTCAACCATCCTTAGGGTGTAACGGTGATATATTCAAACGTTTGGGTTTTTTTAAATTGGATAAGAATTATGACCGCTATAGGGTCCACAAGTTAAAAACTCAACCATCCTTAGGGTGTAACGGTGATATATTCAAACGTTTGGTTTTTTTTAAATTGGATAAGAATTATGACCGCTATAGGGTCCACAAGTTAAAAACGCGATTTTTCGTACAATCAGGGGCCATAATTCAGGAAGTTACGATTCGATATGCACGAATATCGAAAGGAACCGAGATCTTTGAGTTGTAAACTTACATTTCAAGTTCCATCAAAATCAGAAGACCAGCGGCTGCCAGACAGGATACGCCCACATTTTCGAGAGATGGATAGAGAACAAGCTAAAAAGAAAGTGATTTTTCATACAATCAAGGGCCATAATTCAGGAAATTACACTTCGATATGCGCAAATGT